TAAATATTCTACTACAGTGGGGGACACTGAAAGCGTTTAAGTTGCCTTGACTCACTTCAACCAGGGTTGGTCAAAACACGTAGCGAACTAACGCTTCGAAAACTTGAACTCGTGTGTTGCGTCTGGTTCTTTCACTAATGGACGGGCCATTAGAAGAGCGGATTTAGAATTAATCCGGTACAGATCTCTCAAGCTTAACAGTTATGTTTATTAAATTGAAGACTGTACAAACCTTTCGTATCAAAAGCTTTAGAATACTCCAGGCATGCTGCCAGGCAGTGGAAACCGGTAATGTTCTTTTCTAGGCAGAAGTTGGCCCAATGGCCGCTGTAGCAAGCATCACTGAAGATCATTGGGGTGTAAGCTCCTTCAGGACGCATATCAAAAATTTCTTGAATACTGATTGTCCCATCAGCAAAACACCAGTTTCCAGTCCCAATTTCTCCATGCCCAGTGTAGTACAGGATAGGTTTAACCTGGTTACGTCTGCATGTATCAAAAATGCTCCTGATATGACCAGAGGCTGCGGACTTGGTTAGATAAAGATCTTTCACAGTGTTGAACAAATTAATTCCAACTGCAGCTTCCATGTTGGCTAAATCATGAGCAACACCAGAAAGAAATGTCCCGCCTTTGGCTCCAGGAGTGTCTCTGGTCCTTCTATCGGAAATGTCAATGCCGCTTGGAGGATTTGAAGCACCTGAGAGGAGTAACCACTTGGTCTCAATAGAAGTTGGTTTCCACTGTGGCCACCGGTCAATTCGACCAACGTTGGGTCCCTGTGCAATTGCGGAACCAGCAACATTACAAGGCATGGTTTTTGAACGGGGATATGAAACTCTTGATCCTGACATGACAATCGCTATTGTCTGCACTTTTTCATCACCTGAGATAGACAAAAACTGTGAATTTTTTTACAATATTTCTATTTTTTCCCAAATTGCCTAATTTTGACCTGCGTTGTTTTTTCTGTGCACGGTTATATGCACATAAATCCACATTCCTGTAAGTTCTGTAAGGATACGAAAATGGCCACCCCGCTTGATTTTTGCAGGGGCATGTCACGGTCAGCAAACGGGTACCGTTACTAAGACATGTGATAAGACATGAAAGCAGGCCATTTGCGCTGGATCTTTTTTTCCATTCAGTCGCCGAAATTTCAAGTCTAATGTAAATATTTCAGTCCTATTAAATTTGTGAGTCTACGGAAACTGGCACCGTCACGCAACGTATCAACAAATCATAGTTTATACAGGGGACCTCTTAACTGGCATGGACTATATCTGTCTGTAAAACCTCGGTTGTTGATGAAAAATGTTGATTTTAGCAGTAGGCAGAGGCTGAAAGTCAAACACAAATCGTTTTATTGTGCTTGCGCTTGGCAAGAGAAAATTTTTCATATTTCCGAGCGCACATTTTCTGCCCTACGAAGACTAAAAACCTACCTCAGAAGCATCATGAAGGAGGGTCGTCTAAACAATTGCCTCCTCCTGCATTGTCATCAGTCTATAACGAACACATTGAAGACAACTTTTCACACCAAGAAGTTTGTTTGTGGAAACGAACAACGCAAAACACATTTTGGAAACTGCTAGTAGAGGTATGCACTCGGCTTAACGATGAGCCCCCCTCCCCAATGTTTCGAGACGCTCCGCCGTCTCGGGCACCAGTATTTTTTTCAAAGGCTAACAAAAGAATCGGGCAATTTTTTCAAGTGTATTATTATGTTTGTAAACAACAGTCGAATTCTCGTTCGAGGGAATTTTCCCTTGGTTTGTTTTCAGTTTCTTTCATGTGTGTGTTACATCTCTAGTAGAGAACGGATTGCAAGAGATGTGGTATATGTATACACGAGCGCATCGGAAGTATTATGACAGTATAGAGTGTGTGCATTGTCACGCAATAAAGAATAAAATCAAAAACCATTCCGTGGATAAAGTCAAGAAATTGTGATATTATAGACGATAAATAAAGAAGACAGTTCTCCAAGTTTAGGGTGTGTGCGTTATCCCAAAGTTGAGATTTTCGTCGAAATGTTCCGCGCAAAAATTATAGAGCCTAGAATGGTGCCGCCATGTTGGAGGACCTCCTTGGTCCTCCAATATGGCGGCCGGAAAATAGTGTAAACATCTGGAACTTACTTTGGCTATCTAAACAACTGATTATCTGAACCGAACCAAGAAACATTTACACAAGCACTTTTCCTAATACCTTAACTCCTAAAATGGCTACAAATCACGAGAGAAGAGCATGTTTTTCGACAAACGCGATTTTAGCTTCACGTCACGCACCACCATAACTTCGAAATTCAAAATGCGCTGGTTTCCAAACGAAGGACGCTATTGAGCTGGAAAGTTGTAAAACAGATTTAAATTTAGTACCTCTTATGCCTGATGAGGATAAAAGCTTCAGGGGCTCTTTAGTTTTGGATTTGAGAATTTGATGACGTCACGTAAACACACTATCAGAACATGTACTTACAACTTTGATCCTCAGACAACAAGGATTTCCGGCTTCTTTGTTATATCTCTCAGAAATTGATTGTGTCACCTTTAAGATTATGATTTTCAAATCAGTGCAAACTTATGGAATTTGAGGCCTTCTAGCAATCAACAACAGGTCCGGCTGCTGGTCAAAAAATTTGTAGTTGCATGAAAATGTCGAGTTTATACAGGCGAAGTCACTTGAGGACGCACTACTGAACACTAACGAAACCTCTTTAAAAGTAAAGCAAGGAAACCACCATGTCAGACGTACGCCAGTTCGATGGCATGTGCTGCATGTAGAATCCGAAACAACCAAACAAAACCACCGAAACGAACAAAATCAAGCGAGCGCAGGAGCGAGCGAAACGAACGAAGCGGAATAAGCGAGACAAAATCCACTTGCACAAGAGCAAAGAACATTAGTGACTACCGTACGGTTGTAACTTGTTACAATTAGGTTTGATAGAATTTGCAAAGGAAGTTAAACAAGTAACTTGTGCGTACTTACAATCGCTCTGTGTTCAATCTCAGGACACTCCAGAGTCTTTGAAGTTCTCTCGTTTCGTTTGGTGATGTTCTGAACACAAATTGCAAATCAACAGAAACTGAAAGTAAAAATGTGCAAGCAAAGCAATACATGATCCGCCTACGTTCTTAAATTGAATGCAACTTGAATGACGTGTAGTCACGAGATGTCCGGACAACCAAAAAGGTCAACATGAAATGTTTCCTCTTTCGCTTAGTCTGTCCTTTGTGACGCGAGAGAAAACCGCGAGAAAAAAATGGCCGCGCGAAAACCTGAAGGCAAGAAGCGCCAAAGAGATTATAACAAACCATAAAGGAACAAGGACGGTTAAGGATAGAGAAGACTAACACGGATTACAAACGATGCACTTAAAAACTTTAGGCTAAACTTTTCAAGATGTGCAAACCGTGGCTTAGCTCATTTGAGCATCTCAGAAATAAAGTCGTCATCCAACACCAAATTCTTTGAGCCAGAAATATAGCAAATGTATCGAAGTTGGTGCAGAGAATTTCGATGTTGATATATGTTTCTTTGTGACGAGAGGAAGGTGTCTTGTACACGTTTGGATCAGACTACTAGGGCTGCATTGCTTGTAGTAATGTGCTGAACGAAGAAGTGACAACGCCTTAAAGAGTGGAATTCTTTGATAAAAGCAGACTTATCTAGCTTCCGGCTGTTTCGTTTTAACGGCTTCTTTTAGACTAGCGTTATTTCAAGTGTCTGGAGCTGAAGAGAGCTGTAACTGACTTTTGTAAAACTAAAACCATCCTGATCACGACACGGTGGAATAATTAAGGTAACAACCAATCATAATTGACTATAGCAAATCCTAACACCTTGCGTCAAGGGCGGGAAAATCTACCATGATTGGTCGAGAAAATGTTAGGAGTGTTCTTATTGGTTAGAGGAAAAATTGAAGGAAAATTGACAGAACCAATCCAGGTGATCTGTGACGTCATTGCGGAAGCCTGGGGAAAGAAATTTTAATGCCGTATCCCATAAACCAACGCACGCACCAATTCAATCTGTTTTCGAATCATGGCGGCTGTTTGGCTACCATGCGGGAAGGTTTGCGACATAGAAATCGTTCCATGGAAGAGAGATATTTATTCTAAATTA